GTGGCAGACGGCCACCTGTAGACTTCCCAGGGGACTGTTGCAACTGAAGGATGCACGCTCCGCCGCGGACCCCTGACGAACCACTGTGTGAGGAAGGCCTCCAGGCGCGGGCGCGCCCTCTGGAGCACCCCCGATTGCCGCCGCGATATCGTTGCCGGGAGGGGGCGCGCTGTCGCTCGCACCTTCTGCCACTACACCAGCATTGCCCGATGGGGCGCCGGCGGGAGGGAGGCGCCGCGGGAACGCCTGCATGCCTATCCCCGGGCGGGAAAGGACCGACACGCTGCTGCGAACGACCGCCTTTTCAGTTTGTGGCAAGCCCGGAGAACTGCTGCAGCTGAGGGCTGCGCGTGCCGATGTGATCCCCTGACTCTCGGATTTGTGGGGAACGTCTCCGACCGCGGGCGCGCCCTCTGCAGCGCTCGCGACTGTCGCCGCGATGCTGCTGCCAGGGCGGGGCGCCGTTTCGGCCACACCTTCCGCCTCCACAACGACGCTGCCCGAGGGGCGCTGATAGGAGCGAGGGGCTGTAGGAGCGCCAGCTTGCCTGTCTCCAGGAGAGGGGGGGGGGCCGACACGAGGCAGCGGACGGCCGCCCTTTCAGGCTGGAGCTCTCCCGGAGGACAGCTGCAGCTGAAGGCCGCACTTTCGGATCCAACTTCCTGAGTATCTGAATTGGGGGAGCGTCTCCGGGCGCGGGCGCGCGCCCCCTGCAGCGCTGCCAACTATCGCCACGATGCTGTCTCCAGGAGGGGGCACGCTCCTTTCGCGGCTAACGGCCGCACTTTCGGATACCTCTTCCTGGCTGTCAGAAATGTGAGGAGCGTCTCCGAGCGCGGGCGCGCCCTCTGCAGCGCTGCCGACTGTCGCCACGATGCTGTCTCCAGGAGGGGGCGCGTTCCTTTTGCAGCTGGAGGCAGCGCTTTCGGATACCTCTTCCTGACTGTCAGAATTGTGGGGAACGTCTCCGAGCGCGGGCGCGCCCTCAGCAGCGCTGCCCGTTATCGCCGCGATGCTCTCCAGGAGGGAGTACGTTCCTTCTGCAGCTGTCGGCCACACTTTCGGGAGCGTCTTCCTGACTGTCAGAATTGTGGGGAACGTCTCCGGGGACGGGCATGCCTTCTGCAGCGCTGCCAACTGTCGCCACGATCTTGTCTCCGGAAGGGGAGCGCGTTCCTTTTGCAGCAGAGGGCCGCACTTCCTGACTGACACCAGGGGACATCTTCCTGACTATCACCAGGGGACTGCTGCTGCTGCTGTTGCTGCTGACGCCAGGGGGCTGTCACCAGGGGACTGCGGTTGGGCCGTCGCTGCTGTCGCCAGGGCGCCGATGTTGCTGCTGACGCCATGGGTCCCTCCACGGGAGGGCTGGCCGCGCCAGCGGCCGCGGCGGCCGCGGAGGCCACCGCGGCCGGCCGCGGCCGCAGCGGCGGCAGCGGCGCCGGCGGCCGCGGCGGCGGGCGCTCGCGGCGGCCGGCCCCCAAGGCAGCGCGGGGCCACGGCGGCGGCGGCCTCCGACAAGCGGCCAGCCGCCGCCGCGGCAGCGGCCCCGGCGGCAGCCTCGGCGGCGGCCGCGGCGGGCCGCGCGGCTACGCTGCCAGCAGGGGCTGCGGCAGCGGCCGCGGCGGCGACACCAGACACCCGAATGTAACTGCAGGCCAGGTGGCGGCCTCGGCGGCCGCGGCGGCGGTGCCGGCCCGGCGCGCGGCCGCCGCCCGCCGCTGCTGCCGCCGGAAGGCCGTGCGCGGCGACATGGCGCGGGCGGGGGGGGAGGGGGGAGGCCAAGACGACGCGCGTCTTCCTGGCCCCCACCAGGCGAACCAGAGGTCGGGGCACCTCCGGCCCCAGGCGCGCATCCAGCTCGGCTCACCTCGACCCAGAGCGGCTTGAGCCAAGGGGGCTTGAGCCAGGGGGGCTACGGAACTGGTGGGGATGCGCGGAGCGTCAAAAATTCGAAACCTGTTCCTCAGCTCGTCCAGCCTCTCCCTCCGCCTCCCTCCTCTCCCTCGTCATTATACTCCTCCTCCTCCTCCTCCTCCTCCTCCTCCTCCTCTCCTCCTCCTCCTCCTCCTCCTCTCCTCCTCCTCCTCCTCCTCCTCCTCCTCCTCCTCCTCCTCCTCCTCCTCCTCCTCGTCTTGGTGCACCACACACACACATTTCGGCCACTTCCCTCCATTCGCTTTCACAGCAGGTTGAGACAAAGGGGGGGGGACAGGCACCCTCCCCCGAGCGCCCCCTTGTCCAGACCCCACAAGAGAAGGGGGGAGAGAGGGAGTGGACAGGGCCAGGCGACGACCACCCTTCTGCCCGAAACTCCATGTGGAGCTGCACCGCGAGGAGGAAGAGGGTGCGGCGATGCACAGGGAACGAACGGACGACCACCGCTGCGGACAACCGTCTGGGCCGAGGTGAGACCAGGCGGGGTGAAGAGGGAGCAGGTGGGGGAGGGAGGCGGGGGGGCGGCTCCACTCTCCGCACTCCACCCCCGCCTACGAAGAAGAGACTATCTCTCATCAGACTCAGGTTTGCTTGCACGGCGTGCCACGACACACAGCTGTGACTGTCAGCTTGCGCGACTTCCCCCGGGCAGCACCACCTTTCCAAACAAGCACGGCCCCGACCAGACCTCCAATGCCTGGCGAGGGCCCCGAGGGGCCGAAAACGGCGGCAAGCCTCCGCCATGAGTTTCTCAAGACGTTCGAGGTCTGGGGATGGCAAGAGTCAATAACGCCAGGCTCGACTTCGCTGGGGTCGCCAAGGAGCCCCAAGAGACTCCCAAGAGGTCCCCAAGAGGCTCCCAAGAGGCCCTGAAGAGGGCTCCAGGGAGGCGGAATGAGCGAAGCGATTAAATAACGCAGGGCTCGACTTCGCCGGGGTCGGCACCGCCATTGTCTGCTCCGCCCGGGGTTTGGTGTCGCCGGCGGTCGGCTGCGCCGGTGTCGGCCGCGCCCGGGTGGGCTCGGTCCCGCTGGTGGTCTGGTCCGCCCGTGACGGGTTCGCTGGGATTAAGTCGGGCGCGTCCCCCTACAGGGATTTTGGACGAAAGATTAAAAATACTCAAAACATACCCCCCAAATGCCCAAAAATAGTCAAAAAAAAATCGTCACCTGACTTGTTTTGTTTTTGTTTGAGCATTCCCCCTGTAGAGGGACACGCCCGACTTCACGCTGGGGTCGGATGCGCTGGCAATTCATTTCGCTGGCCATCGGTTTCGCCAGCGCCTTCGCCGTGGGCACAGCCGTGAGCTCGTCGGGCGGGCTGGGCGGAGACCCTCGCGGGCGGGCTGGGCGGGCAGGACCTGGCAGCAGGCGGGCGGGAGTGCTAGCAAGCGAACAGGCGGACCCTCCTCCTCCTCCGCATCGTCCTCCTCCTCCTCCTCCTCCTCCTCCTCCTCCTCCTCCTCCTCCTCCTCCTCCTCCTCCTCCTCCTCCTCCTCCTCCTCCTCCTCCTCCTCCATACAGGTCGGGCGGACGGACCCTGACCAGCGGGCCGGGGCGGGCGGGCCCCAAACTAACAAGCGGGGCGAGCGGGCGGGAGACGAAAACTCTCGAGAGCTGCAGGAGGTGCTCCTGGCCCGAGGTGCCCGCAGCTTCTCGCCCCATTTGGGGGCCCCTGGCCTCCTCCTCCTCCTCCCCCTCCTCCTCCTCATCCTCCTCCCTCCTCTCCTCCCTCCTCCTCCTCCTCACTCCTCCTTTCCTCCTCCTCCTTCCTTTCCTCCTCCTCACCTCCTTCCTCCTCCTCCTTTCCCTCCATCCCTCCTCCCTCCCTCCCTCCCCTCCCTCCCTCCCTCCCTCCCTCCCTCCCTGGCCCTCTGGGACTTGTGAGAGGTTCTCTGGAGGCCGTGGGGGCCTCCTTAGGAAAGCCCGAGGGCACCCTGGACCAGGGGCACGTCTGGCCACACCTGAAAAAAAGCGGGCGGGCGAAACGGACCGTGGCGAAGCCGGGCGGGACGGAGCCGAGCGGACGAAACCGACCAGGCGAGACCGGCCGCTGGCGGGGCCGAGCGGGGGCGAGGAGGGCCGCTGGCGCAGCCGCCAGGCGAAAGCGGCTGCTGGCGAAGCCGACCAGCCCCGTCCCGAGGAGGCGCCCCCCACTCGCCCCCATCCCCAGGGGAAGCTCGGGGCGACAGTTTTCGGCAGTTTCTGGCCTCTGCTGCGCGTTGCTCAATGGGAGGGGGAGGGAGGGCCGAATCATGGGGAGGGAGGAGGCCACCGAGGGCAGGTTCAGTGCACAAGAGGTGGGCCCCACACTCATCGCCCCCCGACTGCGTGACGCCCGACTCGGGGGGGCCGTCGCCGAGCCCCTCGACCGTCAAAAAACGGCTTGGGCCAGAAAAGCTGCCTTGAGGGGAAAGGGTCGGGACTTTCGGTGACCCCGCCTTCGATAAACTCGACCCTTCGGCTATCTGGGTCCCCCCCACGAGAACGGCGCCCATGCCCCGTGCCACATCTGGACCCCCCCCCCCCCGGACCCCGCTCCACCCCGCCAGCAGCTGCCGCGCACCGACGGCGCCGCTTCGTGTCCGCGCCGTCTGCAGAACCATACAGAACCCTACAACACCCCACAGCACCCTACAGCCAGGTCACTGGGGAAAAACGATATTCCCCCGCTCCAACGCTGCACGGTACATGGCACTTTTCCGGCCCCGGGGGCCGAACGACTGTGCACCGTACCGTTCCCGAGACGAGGATCGACGACGCCTCTGGAGACGCCAACGCGGCACGGGGCACACAAATCGTCCGTGGACGCCCACCCCACCCTGACGCTGGTCGGGAGCGGCCAAGAGGGGGGTGTCCAAGGGGGGGGGGTGCAAATCATGACCGGCGGCATGTGCGCGGCCCAGCGGGGGGGCCAGGGACGTAATGAAATAAGAAGGGGCGCCATGAAATCTGGGGAAATATCCGCCCCCGAGCTGGCTACCGACTGCCAGCCGGCCAGCCGGCCGGCGCCCGCGCCACCTTCTCCCCCGATCATTCCTCCTCCTCCGGCTGGGATCGGGCCTCAGGTTGCGGCGCGTCGGTGAGCCGAGGGGCGAGACGCTGCCGTCGGATTCTGGCGCGAGTGGCGGGGCCGGGTCGACCGGTGCTGGCGATGCTCCTGCTCCTCCTTCTTTTCCTTCCCGAAGCGTAGAGCACTGCTGTGCTAGCCGCAGATTGCATGTCAAGGCAGGTGCAATCAATGACTGGTGATGGCAGAACAGAGCAGAGCCAGCGAGCTATAGAACTAGACAGCGTTGGGCACGAGCACAAGTCCGTGCAGGACGCTCACAGCCTCTTCGAGTGCAAGCGCTTCAGCGGTGAACGACGACTTTGGGGAAGTGAGAGTCGGCCCGCCATGCGCCAGCTCCTGCTCCTGATCCTGCTCCTGTTCCTGCTCCTGCTCCTCCTCCTCCTCCTCCTCCTCCTCCTGCTCCTGCTCCTGCCCTCCTCCTCCTCCTCCTCCTCCTCCTCCTCCTCCTCCTCCTCCTCCTCCTCCTCCTCC